GCCGATTCCAAAGTGGCATACCTCTAAAGACTTCTGATTCGATTCTCTAAAAATCTGCATTCAAATTTTTCAATTTAACGTTGATCAAATTTTTGACCCATTTTCATGTCAGTTATTTTTAGTTTTCCGAGGACTTGTAACAGAGTGACTCAAAATTGGACTTAGAGAGTCCATAACTTTATCAAACTTAAGCCGATTCCAAAGTGGCATACCTCTAAAGACTTCTGATTCGATTCTCTAAAAATCTGCATTCAAATTTTTCAATTTAACTTTGATCAAATTTTTCACCCATTTTATTGTCAGTTATTTCTAATTTGACTTGTTTAACTTTGACCCAAAATTGAACTTCGAGAGTCCATAACTTTACCAAGCTAAAGCCGATTGCAAAGTGGCATACCTCTAAAGACTTCTGATTCGATTCTCTAAAATCTGCATTCAAATTTTTCAATTTAACGTCGATTAATATTTTGACCCATTTTCATGTCAGTTATTTCTAGATTTCCGAGGACTTGTAACAGAGTGACTAAAAATTGGACTTAGAGAGTCCATAACTTTACCAAACTTAAGCCGTTTCCAAAGTGGCATACCTCTAAAGACTTCTGATTCGATTCTCTAAAAATCTGCATTCAAATTTTTATACCCTTGCAGAGGGTATTATAATTTTGGTCAGAAGTTTGTAACGCAGTGAAGGAGACGTTTCCGACCCCATAAAGTATATATATTCTTGATCAGGATCAATAGGGAGTCGATATAGCCATGTCCGTCTGTCCGTCTGTCCGTCTGTCCGTCTGTCCGTCTGTTTCAATACCGTTTGCGAGCTCAGTTTAAAAGCTAGCGATCTGAAACTTTCACAATCGTCCTAAAACATGTGTACGCAGATCAAGTTTGAAAATCGCCCCGATCGGACGTCTATATCCTATAGCTCCCATAGGAACAATTGGATATATCTTGCAAGAATTTATGATATTTCGCGCAGTGTAAAAGCTATTGACATTAATCTTTACAAATCGTATTTTTTATACCCTTGCAGAGGGTATTATAATTTTGGTCAGAAGTTTGTAACGCAGTGAAGGAGACGTTTCCGACCCCATAAAGTATATATATTCTTGATCAGGATCAATAGGGGAGTCGATATAGCCATGTCCGTCTGTCCGTCTGTCCGTCTGTTTCAATACCGTTTGCGAGCTCAGTTTAAAAGCTAGCGATCTGAAACTTTCACAATCGTCCTAAAACATGTGTACGCAGATCAAGTTTGAAAATCGCCCCGATCGGACGTCTATATCCTATAGCTCCCATAGGAACAATTGGATATATCTTGCAAGAATTTATGATATTTCGCGCAGTGTAAAAGCTATTGACATTAATCTTTACAAATCGTATTTTTTATGCATACCTTGATCAGGGTAAAAGCGCGTGGCGATCGGACGTCTATATCCTATAGCTCCCATAGGAACAATAGGGTAAAATCGGTTAAAATTGAATGATTTTTAGGATATTTCGCGCAGTGTAAAATCTATTGACATAAATCTTTCCAAATCTTATTTTTTATGCGTACCTTGATCAGGGTAAAAGCGCGTGACGATCGGACGTCTATATCCTATAGCTCCCATAGGAACAATAGGGTAAAATCGGTCCAAATTTGATGTTTTTCAGAATATTTCGCGATGTGTAAAAGCTATTGCTGTACATTTTTTCAAATCGTATTTTTTTATGCATTCCTTCATCAAGGTAAAAGCGCGTGCTGATCGGACGTCTATATCCTATAGCTCCCATAGGAACAATACGGTGAAATCGGTCAAAATTTCATGTTTTTAGAATATTTCGCGCAGTGTATAAGCTATTGACATACGTCTATATCCTATAGCTCCCATAAGAACAATAGGGTGAAATCGGTCCAAATTTGATGATTATCAGAATATTTCGCGCAGTGTGTAAGCTACTAACATAAAATTTTCCAATTCTTATTTATTTACGCATATCTTGATTAGGGTAAAAGCGCTTGCCGCTCGGAAGTCTATATCTTAAAGGAGATAGTAAAAATTGTTAAAGGCTGCGAAAGTATCCCTTTTGTATATGACATTTTTGCAGTATAAAAGCAATTGACTTGAAACGATGCAAATCTAGTTTACTTATGTATACCTTATTCCTTTCGCTACTTTTTCACTTTTAGCAATTTCGTCAAAGTCTGCAAGGGTATTAAAACTTCGGCTTGCCGAAGTTAGCTTCCGTCCTCGTTCAATTTAACTTTGATCAAATTTTTCACCCATTTTCATGTCAGTTATTTCTAATTTGACTTGTTTAACTTTGACCCAAAATAGGACTTAGAGAGTCCATAACTTAACCAAACTTAAGCCGATTCCAAAGTGGCATACCTCTAAAGACTTCTGATTCGATTCTCTAAAAATCTGCATTCAAAATTTTCAATTTAACGTCGATTAATATTTTGACCCATTTTCATGTCAGTTATTTCTAGATTTCCGAGGACTTGTAACAGAGTGACTAAAAATTGGACTTAGAGAGTCCATAACTTTACCAAACTTAAGCCGTTTCCAAAGTGGCATACCTCTAAAGACTTCTGATTCGATTCTCTAAAAATCTGCATTCAAATTTTTATACCCTTGCAGAGGGTATTATAATTTTGGTCAAAAGTGTGCAACGCAGTGAAGGAGACATCTCCGACCCTATAAAGTATATATATTCTTGATCAGGATCACCTCCTGAGTTGATATAGCCATGTCCGTCTGTCCGTCTGTCCGTCTGTCTGTCCGTCTGTCTGTCCGTCTGTCTGTTTCTACGCAAACTAGTCTCTCAGTTTTAAAGCTATCGAATTGAAACTTTGCACATACCCTTCTTTCCTTTGCACGCAGTATATATGTCGGAACGGCCGGGATCGGCCGACTATATCCTATAGCTGCCATATAACTGATTGATCGGAAATGCCATATCTTTGGTGTTTGTAAAGTTAGAATGTTGGGATTTTCTAAGGGTTTTATATTTGGCTAATCAATCCGACATGCCGAATTTCATAAGGATCGGCCGACTATATCCTATAGCTGCCATATAACTGATTGATCGGAAATGCCATAACTTTGGTGTTTGTAAAGTTAGAATGTTGGGATTTTCTATGGGTTTTATATTTGGCTGATCAATCCGACATGCCGAATTTCATAAGGATCGGCCGACTATATCCTATAGCTGCCATATAACTGATTGATCGGAAATGCCATAACTTTGGTGTTTGTAAAGTTAGAATGTTGGGATTTTCTATGGGTTTTATATTTGGCTAATCAATCCGACATGCCGAATTTCATAAAATCGGCCGACTATATCCTATAGCTGCCATATAACTGAACGATTGGAAATGTCATAACTTTGGTGTTTTTAATGTCAGTTATTTCTAACTTGACTTGTTTAACTTTGACCCAAAATTGAACTTCGAGAGTCCATAACTTTACGAAGCTAAAGCCGATTGCAAAGTGGCATACCTCTAAAGACTTCTGATTCGATTCTCTAAAAATCTGCATTCAAATTTTTCAATTTAACGTCGATTAACTTTTTGACCCATTTTCATGTCAGTTATTTCTAGATTTCCGAGGACTTGTAACAGAGTGACTAAAAATTGGACTTAGAGAGTCCATAACTTTACCAAACTTAAGCCGTTTCCAAAGTGGCATACCTCTAAAGACTTCTGATTCGATTCTCTAAAAATCTGCATTCAAATTTTTCAATTTAACGTTGATCAAATTTTTGACCCATTTTCATGTCAGTTATTTCTAATTTGACTTGTTTAACTTTGACCCAAAATTGAACTTCGAGAGTCCATAAATTTACCAAACTTAAGCCGATTCCAAAGTGGCATACCTCTAAAGACTTCTGATTCGATTCTCTAAAAATCTGCATTCAAATTTTTCAATTTAACGTTGATCAAATTTTTGACCCATTTTCATGTCAGTTATTTCTAGATTTCCGAGGACTTGTAACAGAGTGACTAAAAATTGGACTTAGAGAGTCCATAACTTTACCAAACTTAAGCCGTTTCCAAAGTGGCATACCTCTAAAGACTTCTGATTCGATTCTCTAAAAATCTGCATTCAAATTTTTCAATTTAACTTTGATCAAATTTTTCACCCATTTTCATGTCAGTTATTTCTAATTTGACTTGTTTAACTTTGACCCAAAATAGGACTTAGAGAGTCCATAACTTAACCAAACTTAAGCCGATTCCAAAGTGGCATACCTCTAAAGACTTCTGATTCGATTCTCTAAAAATCTGCATTCAAATTTTTCAATTTAACTTTGATTAAATTTTTCACCCATTTTCATGTCAGTTATTTCTAATTTGACTTGTTTAACTTTGACCCAAAATTGAACTTCGAGAGTCCATAACTTTACCAAGCTAAAGCCGATTGCAAAGTGGCATACCTCTAAAGACTTCTGATTCGATTCTCTAAAAATCTGCATTCAAAATTTTCAATTTAACGTCGATTAATATTTTGACCCATTTTCATGTCAGTTATTTCTAGATTTCCGAGGACTTGTAACAGAGTGACTAAAAATTGGACTTAGAGAGTCCATAACTTTACCAAACTTAAGCCGTTTCCAAAGTGGCATACCTCTAAAGACTTCTGATTCGATTCTCTAAAAATCTGCATTCAAATTTTTCAATTTAACGTCGATTTACTTTTTGACCCATTTTCATGTCAGTTATTTCTAGGACAGTCTCGATCATGCTTTCGTGGAGTGCAGACGTGTTTTTGCATTATTACGAAATTCTTTGTGCAGAGCCTATGGACAAGTCCACTTTCGTGGCAAAACTTACTGTTTTTGTGAGCTCAGTGGCTGGAGTCGCGGTGTCAGTGATCTTACATCCCGTTGGTTGTGCCTTTTCGCGAAAACAAGTGAAGTAGGAACTGGTAGAAAGACATTTGCAGCTTGTTGTAGTTGCAAATCACCCCTCTGAGATCAACAGATCAATTATATTTTTATTTAAAAAATAAAAAACAAATTCAAATATTTCCTCGACTGGGGCTCGAACCGGGTTTCACCTGGCGGTGGGGCGAGCGCCTTCCTCACTGGACCACAACCGCCTCTTTGGAACCTACACAAAAGGGCTTAGTGTTCTGGAAGTCGGTAAAGCAGTGTCAAGCAGTCACTAACTACCATAATGTCTGAACCAGACTTCAACATCGCAGGAACAGTGGCTGAGGCCCAAAGGAAAATGAGTGACGCATTAAACGCCTCATTAAAACGTTTTAGCTCTGTCTATGCTTCCACCTCTTCCAACGCTCGACAACCTCAAGACCTTTCATCCGATGAAACTGTAGCAGACGACGAGGACTGGTGGACCCCACGTCCCAGCTCTAACAAACGCCGGTTAGACTCCAAGTCTCCCGATGGTAACAGAAAAGTTCAAAGGAGTTCTAAAAGCCCAAAACCAACTGAATCTGTTAATCGGTTCTCGGAACTGTCAGACATGGACGCTGAAGATGACCTCCCCCTCGCTTCTCTTGTTGTCAGCCACAACAGCTCCGATGGAGCCAATATTACCAACACAAGTAACATCAATGACAACCACGAGAACAGTACCAACATCATTGAAAACAGCAACATCATAAGCAACAACATCAGTAGCAGCAACAATGGCAACAACAACACCACCAGCACTAGTAACAGCGGCAATCGTAATCCGAACCAGCTCACAGGCAACAAGGAAACCTCACGGAATCAGAAACCACCCCCAATTGTTATCAAAAATTGTGAAAGCCTAAACGGACTTATCAGATCCACTGATAAGATCGTCCACCCAACAAAATACTCAATAAAATGCCACACAGATAACTCAGTTTCGATCCTCGCTGCAGACTCCGATGCGTACAGAGCCATCACTAAATCGCTCACCATAAAAAAGGTGCCATTTCATACCTGGCAGCTTAAAGAGGAAAGATCCTTCCGGATAGTCATTCGAGGTGTACATCACTCCATCCCGGATGAGGACATTAAGGAAAGTCTGACTTCGCTTGGACACAATGTGCGCTTTGTTAACAGGCCGAGAAGCCGTTTTGACAAATCAAAGCTTGTCAACCTTGTTTTTGTCGAGTTAGAACCAGCCGCGAACAACAAAGAAGTTCATGAGCTTAAGGTGCTCTGTCGTCAAAGAGTTCAAGTTGAACTTCCTCACAAAAAGGACGATATTGTACAGTGTTTTCGATGCCAATCTTTTAATCACACAAAAAACAATTGCCATAAGGAATTTAATTGTGTCCGATGTGGTCAACAACATGCGATTGACGAATGCGAACGAGAAATTCACCCCGTTAAATGCGTAAACTGTGGAGGTAGTCACACAGCTAGTTACAAGGGCTGTATTGTTTACCAGCAAACAGTAAGTCGTCGTAGAGGTGCTACAACCCATCGTAGCCTCCCACAACAACCAGCCGTTGTACGACCAACTGAGAGAAGAGGTGTTGTGGCATCGATTTCATACGCGAATGCCGCTAGGGGATCTGTACAACAACAAACCCAACAGGCTAGCCGACAGCAGTGGACAAACGATCAGCAGCATCAACAGTTCCCTCCACTAGGAAGTAGAAACCGGAAACTTCATCAGCAAAGTAACGGACTCAATCAACATCAGCAGCATCCAACGCAAGACTCTTTAAGCCGACTTCAAAAACCAGCTCCCAAACAACAGCAGGACCAACAACAACAGTCATCGCAACAGCACCGAAATGTCCAAAATGATCGTCAATGGCAGCGACAAGAGCAAAAGTTTATGCGATCCGATGAAAAGATGTCAGTCCTCGTAGCTCAACTCGACAAGATGTTCCAGATGATGATGTCAATGATGACTCTCATTACAGGCCTTATATCACAAATGGCGCCAGGAACTGCACAAGCAATCTCTGGCCTTCTCCCAGCTCATTCAACACAACCATGAGTCAAATTGGGCTCAAAATCGGTGTATGGAACGCCGACGGGCTGGCCAACAAGGCGCTGGAGCTAGAGTTCTTCGTGCGGAAGCATCACATTGACATCATGTTGGTCAGCGAAACACATTTCTCCTCTCGGTCATATTACAAGCTACAGGGGTATGACATTCACCAATCTAATCATCCGGCAGATCGCCATCGTGGAGGCTCTGCTATTATTATAAAGTCCTGTCTCCAATACCACCAGTTCGCAACAATGGAACATCAAAGTGCTCAATGGGTCGCAGTTAAAGTCAAAACAGACCACGGTGAAATTGTCATTGCGTCTATTTATTGCCCACCTAACTTTCTGCGTACCGCCGTTGACTTCAGAGTACTATTTGAGGAACTAGGACCCAATTTCCTTATTGCTGGAGACTGGAATGCACACCATCGACATTGGGGCTCACGAAACTGCACAGCCAGCGGAAGAGCATTGGCTGACTGTATTTATAGTGCTAATATCCAGGTCCTTGCAACCGGAGGGCCCACGCATTACCCGTACAGTCAACGTACACCATCAGCAATCGACTTTGCCATATATGGAGGTATTCGCTCTGAGCTTGTCACCATATCAGAAAGCTTGGAACTAAGTTCTGACCACATCCCCTTGGTGATTGAACTAAGAACAGCTGCTCACAAGCTTTCCCGGAAAATGCACATCCTTCCTCAAAACGCAAGCGTTCCGCGGTTCCAGGCAGCTGTTAATCAGCTTGTTAACCTCAACATGGTCCTAAACACCCCTGAAGATATTGACGACGCGACTGAGCATTTTGTCCAAAACATCCACATCGCTGCTGACTCCTCAACCTGTAGGCAAGGTTCAATAAACCCATCGAATCCAACTCATGCCCTTTTAAAACCTGAGGTTCTGGATCTGGTGAGGTTGAAAAGAGCCTTGCGTCGCAGATTCATGCGGTCGAGGGATCCAGCCGACAAAAGGGCATATCGTCGCGCTGAGGACGATCTCAAAAAGTTGTTGCACAAAACAAAAAATGACTACTTCGCTGATCTGCTACGTAATGCTGATCCTACAAAACCATATGGATTTAGCATCTGGAAAGCAGCAAGAGTTATAAAAAGGCAGCCCCCTCGCAGAATACCTATTAAGCGAACTGACAACACTTGGTGCAGATCGGATTCCGAAATTTCTCTGGCTTTTGCTGACGAACTGGAAAATCGCTTTCAGCCATTTAACTTTGCGAAGCGTGATGACGTTGAAAACACACTGCAATTTCTTAATGCTCCCTGCCCAGAAGCAGAGCCATATAAGTCCGGAAGAAGTTTGTCACCAAATAAAAAAGCTGCACCTCAGCAAAGCTCCAGGATTTGACGGTATTGACACCAGGGTTGCCAAGGCACTTCCGAAAAAGGGCATTCTGTTTTTAGTCCTCCTGTTCAACTCCATGTTACGTATCCACCACTTCCCCACACAATGGAAGTGCGCTGTGATATCGATGATACCGAAGCCAGGTAAGCCGGAGAACCTTGTTGCGTCATACCGACCAATAAGCTTGCTGCCCACATTCTCTAAAATATTCGAGAGAATATTTCTTAGCAGAATGATGGCAGTAAGAAGGGTTCAGGATGCAATTCGAGACCACCAGTTCGGCTTCAGGAATCACCATGGAACCCCGGAGCAAGTGCACCGGGTTACTCAACATATTTTGGATGCCTTCGAGAATAGACAGTACAGCTCTGCTATCTTCTTGGACGTAAAAGAAGCTTTCGATAGAGTGTGGCACGATGGCTTGCTATTTAAGCTGAAGACTCTCTTGCCAACTGCGCAGTATCTCCTTCTTAAAACATATCTGCTGGATAGAAGCTTTATGGTTGAAGTGAGAGGCGAAAGATCACCTATCCGATGCATACGAGCTGGCGTACCACAAGGTAGTGTTTTGGGTCCTGTGCTGTACACCCTTTACACCTCTGACTTGCCAAATCCTAGAGACCCGGGTACCCTCTTGGCAACGTATGCTGACGACACAGCCTTCATCGCAAACTCTCCGTGTCGAATCGAGGCGTCCAGAATTACCCAGAGCTTCTTGGACCTGTACAGCGAGTGGACGAGCAGGTGGAAATAAGTCGCAACATTGCAACTTCTCCTTAAGGCATCAAACCCTCCCTAGGGTTAAATTCCAAGACACGCTCATCCCACAATCCCCTCAGGCGCAATATCTTGGATTGATCCTCGACAAGCGGCTCACATGGAGGCAACACACCGTCAAAATAGCAGCAACATGCCGTAGTAAGCTTAGGAAGCTTAATTGGATGCTTAGAGCAGCGAGTCATCTGAGCCTCAGAAATAAAATTCTGATCTACAAGGCAATAGTAGTCCCTTCCATGACGTATTGCATGCAAATTTGGGGTACGGCATCCGACTCAAACATCATGCGAGTACAACGGCTGCAAAACCGAGCACTGCGAACCATTGTAAATGCGCCGTGGTATGTGAGAAATGACGACATAACAAAAGACCTTCACATCCCCACCGTGCGGGAACAAATAAATCGTCACTCAAGTCGCTACAATGCACGGATTCGAGCCCACTCGAACCACCTAGCTGCAGCATTGGCAACCCCAATGATTAGAAGAAGGCTAAAGAGAAGGCATCAAGCAGACCTATGGATAGGAGGGCGGCATAGAACGAGAGTCCTTCCCCAATAAATAAAATATTATCGTGATCGTCACCAAAATCTACAATTATTTTTTTTAAAGTCAAAAACATATTGATATATATCGCTGCTGTTATGTTTTTCCTTGTTATGTTTGTTAGTCTTTCTAGTCCCTACGTTTTATAGCCATTTAATTGGCTGATTAACGTATAAATAAAATATATTTTATATTAAAAAAAAAAAAAAAAAGTTATTTCTAGATTTCCGAGGACTTGTAACAGAGTGACTAAAAATTGGACTTAGAGAGTCCATAACTTTACCAAACTTAAGCCGTTTCCAAAGTGGCATACCTCTAAAGACTTCTGATTCGATTCTCTAAAAATCTGCATTCAAATTTTTCAATTTAACGTTGATCAAATTTTTTGACCCATTTTCATGTCAGTTATTTCTAATTTGACTTGTTTAACTTTGACCCAAAATTGAACTTCGAGAGTCCATAAATTTACCAAACTTAAGCCGATTCCAAAGTGGCATACCTCTAAAGACTTCTGATTCGATTCTCTAAAAATCTGCATTCAAATTTTTATACCCTTGCAGAGGGTATTATAATTTTGGTCAAAAGTGTGCAACGCAGTGAAGGAGACATCTCCGACCCTATAAAGTATATATATTCTTGATCAGGATCACCTCCTGAGTTGATATAGCCATGTCCGTCTGTCCGTCTGTCCGTCTGTCTGTCCGTCTGTCTGTTTCTACGCGAACTAGTCTCTCAGTTTTAAAGATATCGAATTGAAACTTTGCACACACCCTTCTTTCCTTTGCACGCAGTATATAAGTCGGAACGGCCGGGATCGGCCGACTATATCCTATAGCTGCCATATAACTGATTGATCGGAAATGCCATAACTCTGCTGTTTGTTAAGTTAGGAAGTTGGGACTCTCTATGGGTATTATATTTGGCCAATCAATCCGACATACCAAATTTCATAAGGATCGGCCGACTATATCCTATAGCTGCTATATAACTGATTGATCGGAAATGCCATAACTTTGGTGTTTGTAAAGTTGGGAAGTTGGGATTTTCTATGGGTTTTATATTTGGCCAATTAATCCGACCTACCAAATTTCATAAGGATCGGCCGACTATATCCTATAGCTGCCATATAACTGATTGATCGGAAATGCCATAACTCTGCTGTTTGTTAAGTTAGGAAGTTGGGATTTTCTATGGGTTTTATTTTTGTCCAATCAATCCGACATATTAAATTTCATAAGGATCGGCCGACTATATTCTATAGCTGCCATATACATAACTGAATGATTGGAAATGCCATAACTTTGGTGTTTTTAAAGTTAGGAAGTTGGGATTTTTTATGAGTATTAAGAATGCATCATATGAATAATTTTGGAGAATATAATTTACAGAGTATTCTGCAAGGGTATATCAACTTCGGCTCCGCCCGAAGTTAGCTTTCCTTTCTTGTTCAATTTAACTTTGATCAAATTTTTCACCCATTTTCATGTCAGTTATTTCTAATTTGACTTGTTTAACTTTGACCCAAAATAGGACTTAGAGAGTCCATAACTTAACCAAACTTAAGCCGATTCCAAAGTGGCATACCTCTAAAGACTTCTGATTCGATTCTCTAAAAATCTGCATTCAAATTTTTCAATTTAACTTTGATCAAATTTTTCACCCATTTTTATGTCAGTTATTTCTAATTTGACTTGTTTAACTTTGACCCAAAATTGAACTTCGAGAGTCCATAACTTTACCAAGCTAAAGCCGATTGCAAAGTGGCATACCTCTAAAGACTTCTGATTCGATTCTCTAAAAATCTGCATTCAAATTTTTCAATTTAACGTCGATTAATATTTTGACCCATTTTCATGTCAGTTATTTCTAGATTTCCGAGGACTTGTAACAGAGTGACTAAAAATTGGATTTAGAGAGTCCATAACTTTACCAAACTTAAGCCGTTTCCAAAGTGGCATACCTCTAAAGACTTCTGATTCGATTCTCTAAAAATCTGCATTCAAATTTTTCAATTTAACGTTGATCAAATTTTTGACCCATTTTCATGTCAGTTATTTTTAGTTTTCCGAGGACTTGTAACAGAGTGACTCAAAATTGGACTTAGAGAGTCCATAACTTTATCAAACTTAAGCCGATTCCAAAGTGGCATACCTCTAAAGACTTCTGATTCGATTCTCTAAAAATCTGCATTCAAATTTTTCAATTTAACTTTGATCAAATTTTTCACCCATTTTATTGTCAGTTATTTCTAATTTGACTTGTTTAACTTTGACCCAAAATTGAACTTCGAGAGTCCATAACTTTACCAAGCTAAAGCCGATTGCAAAGTGGCATACCTCTAAAGACTTCTGATTCGATTCTCTAAAAATCTGCATTCAAATTTTTCAATTTAACGTCGATTAATATTTTGACCCATTTTCATGTCAGTTATTTCTAGATTTCCGAGGACTTGTAACAGAGTGACTAAAAATTGGACTTAGAGAGTCCATAACTTTACCAAACTTAAGCCGTTTCCAAAGTGGCATACCTCTAAAGACTTCTGATTCGATTCTCTAAAAATCTGCATTCAAATTTTTCAATTTAACTTTGATCAAATTTTTCACCCATTTTCATGTCAGTTATTTCTAATTTGACTTGTTTAACTTTGACCCAAAATAGGACTTAGAGAGTCCATAACTTAACCAAACTTAAGCCGATTCCA